AGGAATAGAAGCTAGTTTAGGAGATTTCCAAGGGGAGACAATGCATCCTGTTTGGAACACGTTGAATTTAAGGTATCTATGTTCCTTAAATCCAGGAGGGGATGTTCTGGAGGGGACCTCTAGAAGTGGATTCAGACATCTGGCACTCAGGAGAAAATTTGGGGCTGGAGACATGGATCTGGGAGCCAGCATATCCACGCCAGTTAAAGCCACAAGAGTGTGTGTAGCATCTGAAGAGAGGTTCTCAGATGGAACTCTAGGGAGTGGTCAAGGTCAGACCACAAACACACTCATGAAGAGAGAGCTGTGGGGGCTTCATCTCTGGGGGCCTTGGCACAAAAACAGCCTCAGAGACATTGGTAGGATAAACAGAAGCCCTTTATGTGAAACAGGCATGGATATCTTTGGCTCCTGGGGACACAGCAAACAGGGAGATGGAAGAGGACAAACAACCTCCCCAGCAGTCAGCCCCACCCAGCAGGTGTGGAAGAGAGACCTTGTGACAGAGGAGTGGAGAAGGCTCAGTCTTGCAGGCAAAGTCAGCCCCCCTCTCCCTACAGATGATCTAAAACAGGGCATCTGTAGGTGGCAGCAAGTTCCCAAAGGTAGATGGAACCCAAGGAGCCTCCCCTGGCCCGCATCTTCCTTGGATCATAGTGGAGTGGATAAGAGCACAGAACCTAGACCTCCACTCTCTGGCTTCAAATCTTGACTCTCTCATGCACTAGTGCGCCAACCTGGGCACCTAATACCTCTTTGTCTCAGTTTCCTCCTCTGTAAAATGAGGACAATAACAGTTACCTATCTCATAGAACTGCTATGAAGATTGAGTTAATATTTACAAAGTGCTTATATTGGTGCCTGGCACATAGTAAATGCTATATAAATATTACATTAAAAATAATAATTTAATTCATTCATGAATATTCCTTGACCAGCTACCACATGCCAGGCACTGTTGTAGGTGCTGGGGACACAGCAGTGAATACAGCAGGTGAAAATCCTTGCCCTCATGGAGCTTACATTCTGGTAGATGGAGAGGAGGAGTGAAGACAGACAATATACAGAATAAATGGAAACAATGTAAATAATATCATATGAAATATATGGTATGTCAGAGCCAAGTGGAGACATGAGAGATGTGCAGAAGCTGGTAAGGCTGCTAGCCTAGTACCTGATGCAGAGTGGGCGCAGGAGATGGAAAGCAGGAGGATACCCTGGAAGAGCAGCAGAGTGGAATCCCCGGCAGAGACACTAGGGCTGCTGACCCCCTCAGGGTAACAATCATCATCATCACTGTCATATAATAGCAGCAAGCATTTATATAGCACTTATTCCATACCAGGCCCTGTTCTATTCACTTTTCATATATCATCTCATTTAATCCTTTTGGCAGTCCTATGAGGTTGGTACTGTTATCATTTCCATTTTTCAAGTGAGGGAACTGAGGCATAGCAGGGTTATGTAACTTGGCTTAGAGCGTTGTACAGTAGGTGAATGAGCTGGGATTCCAGCCCAGGTTATCTGGCTTCAGTGTAGGTAGGATGTTGGTAGGATGGACCTGCAGGACAGTCTGCCACGCCTCAGGACCGGGCAGGGACTGACCTTCACACAGACTGGAAGGAACACACACATCCCTAATACCTACACAGCCAAGACCCCATATACTTAACACACACTTCAAGACTGTTCAGGGGCCCCTGGGTGGTTCAGTCGGTTAAGCATCTGACTTCAGCTCAGGTCATGATCTCGTGGTCCATGAGTTCGAGCCCCATGTCGGGCTCTGTGCTGACAGCTCAGAGCCTGGAGCCTGCGTCAGATTCTGTGTCTCCCTCTTTCTCTGCCCCTCATCTGCTCATGCTCTCTCTCTTGTCTCTCAAAAATAGACAAAACAAAAAGACTGTTCAGAGGGCCCAGAAGGAATAACCCAAAAACCATGAAATAGAGATAAAGGCTCAGCTTTAGAGAGTTCCAACCCCAGAGCTATTTTCCCTATATGGCCCCTGCTCCCCACCCCCTCCACATTTCACTCCATGAGGCTCTGAGCCCAGCCTCCTGTGACCTTAAGTCACCATTCCAAAGCCCTGTGATCCCACCCAGAGACCACAAATAAAATAATGAGTATCACAATCCTGGGAAGTTTAACAAAGGCACCAACAACTACAGATCACAGCAGGAACCAAGAAGGCAAACCATCAAGAGGCTAACAGACAGGTGGGACCGGTGGTCCTAGAAAGAGCTGGAACCTGTGGTCATAAAAGCCCACAGAGGAGGGGCACCTGGGTGGCTCAGTTGGTTAAGCGTCTGGTTCTTTTTTTTTTTTTTTTTCAATTTTTTAGTGTTTATTTATTATTGAGAGAGAGAGAGAGAGAGAGAGAGAGAGAGAGAGAGAACATGAGTGGGGAGGGGCAGAGAGAGAGGGAGACACAGAATCTGAAACAGGCTCTAGGCTCTGAGCTGTCAGCACAGAACCCAACGCGGGGCTCAAACTCATGGACAGTGAGATCATGACCTGCGCCGAAGTCGGATGCTTAACTGACTGAGCCACCCAGGCAGCCTAAGCGTCTGATTCTTGATTTCAGCTTAGGTCATGATCTCACAGTTCATGAGTTTGAGCCCTACATCAGGCTCCATGCTGACAGTGTGGAACCTGCTTGGGATTCTTTCTCTCTCTGCTCATCCCCTGCTTTCTCTCTCTCTCAAAATACATAAATAAACTTAAAAAAATAAAACCCCACAAAGGGGCAACTCTCAACAGTTCACAAGACCCCTCCATAGTCTTTCTAACCTAACAGTCTTTCTAACTGTTCAATTCTTACCTTAGGCAAGACAAAAATTACCAGACCAATTTGTCAAATGGAGAAATTAAGTCCCAGAGAGGAGGAATGAGTTATCCCAGATCACATGCAGGACTAGGAGTCAGGTGTCCAAAAGCCCTTCCACTGTCGCACTGAGAGAGAGAGAGAGAGAGAGAGAGAGAGAGAGAGAGAGAGAGAGAAGAGAAGGGAAGGGGAGGGAAGGGAAGGGAGGCAGAGGATGACACAGAAGACCTAAGAGTGGAGAAATCCTTCCTCATGATCTCCAGGGGACCCCATGGGACAAGGCTTGGCCTCCTGAAAAATTCTCCAATGCTTCATTCCTCCTGTCAGTTGATTAGTGCAGCACCATCTTCACTCCTTCATTCCCAGCCCCAGGTGAGCTGGGTTCTGAAGGGAAGAGAAGGATCAAAGCCCTTCCAGTAGAATCAGAGCGTATTTTACAGTTTCCAACCTCATAATCAATGAACTTTAGAGCAGGGAATACCCATAGAGATTATCTCCCCATCCCTCTATGCCACCCATTGTACAGATGGGAGACTGAAGCCCAGAGACAAGAAGTGACTTTCCAGAACTCCGCGCAACTCGGTCACAGGACTCCAGATTTCCTTACCAGGGCATACTAGAGAGAGGTCATTCTTCCTTTGCTTGAACCTTCATGTCAATTGCCTGTAAAGAGGGGCACCTGGGTGGCTCAGTCTGTTGAGTGCTCTGACTTCAGCTCAGGTCATGATCTCACGGTTCACGAGTTCGAGCCCCGTGTCGGGCTCTGTGCTGACAGCTCAGAGCCTGGAGCCTGCTTCCGATCCTGTGCCTCCCTCTCTCTCTGTCCCTCTCCCCCTCACACTCTCTCTCAAAAATAAACGTTAAAAAGATTAAATTCCCTGGAATCCAGGAGACCTGACTTTTATTCTGGCTATGCTGAGACTCACTGAATAGCCCTGGGGACGACTCCTACATAATGTAAGGTCCACAAGTGAAAGGATTTTTGTCTGTTAGGCCCTGATTTATCTCCAGCCCCTAGAACAGTCTCTGGCCCATAAGTGCCCAATAAATATGCATTGCATGAATACCGTCTAGAGGGTTAGGTAAGTGTCATCATGAGAGGCTAAAGTCTGAAACACAAGAACCACCAGCTTTATCTTTAGGTACATGAAAGGCTAAAGGTTTGTCCACAGATATTTACTGAGGGCCCATACTGAACTAGGCACTGGAGATTCACGTACGAACAAGACTGTCATGCCCTGACCTCAAGAGCTCACAGTCCACTATAATGTGGAATGAGTGCAGATTTTTTTGTGGGCTTCAGAGGGTAGACCCTGATGAGAGATGTAAGTGGCAGACTGCTCAATATAATACAGACACTTTTCTCAGCTTTAGTTGCCCTGAAATGGTCTCATGCTCGGAAGGTGGTGAGTGCAGCGGAACTGCAGTGTTCAAGCAGGGCGCCAGCCGCCCACCTGTGAGGCTGAGCCAGGAGCATGCGGGAGATTTCTGTCTTGGGTGAGGTCACTTTCCACCCCCAGATTCTCTGTCTACAAAACCCTGCAATTCTCTGACGCTGGATCTTATTATTTCCTGAATTTCAAGGTCCCATGATGCTAACAGCTCCGAATTTTAAGTTCTCTGCCCACGCCCCTGGGCGGAAAAGAAAGAATTCATCAAGGGTCCTACCACCCACTGCCTCAAAGGGTCTCTGAGGATAGTCAGCAGACCCCTCCCCGCCTCGTGGGGGCTGGAGGGGCGTAGTTTGGGCGCCGGGGTGCCGAGGACTTCGTAGGGAGGAAGGGTATTCCAGAGATGGAGTCTACAGCGCCGAGACACGTGACAACCAAAGCGTCACGTTCTGTGGTCTTCGAGGGTGGGACCGAGCCGGTCATGTGACGCGGGAGGGGGGGGGAGGGGCACCATGGCGTGATATGAGATGCAGGGCCTCTCAGATTACGTACCAATGACGCATTCCCACCCGGTTTGGCAACTAGATTTCCGTTGGAAGATGCGACGGTTCCGGCAAAGGGGGCGGGTTCTCACGTCCGGGCAGCTTTGCTTCCGTTCGGGGCGCTACAGCTTCCGACCTCCGCCTCTCCCTCTGGCGAGGAAGAGACGCGACCCCACGCGCATGCCCCGATCATCCCAGAGGGGCGGGGCCGAGGCTAAGGGAGAGGGAGGGGGGGGGAAAGAAAAGGGAATTCCAACCTGTGGAATCTTGGGGGTACCCAAGGTCGGCTTCTTCGCATTGACTGTGGATGGTACCTGGCACAGAGCCTCTGGTGGCTCGTAGGGAGCTTGGGGGTCCGCAGGGTGAGGGCGGAGGGGAGTGTCAGTGTCAGAGTGTGAGTGGGGTACGGGCGTTCTAAACTTAGTCTTGAGGCCCTCGGGTCTCCCGTGCCGGGGAAGGGAGCTCGGGCCGCCATGCGCGACAGGACCCACGAACTGAGGCAGGTGAGAAGTAGGGGCTGCAGAGTTGGGGACGGGCGGACGGGATGGGGTCTGGCTGGAATACAGGACTCCTGGTCTTAGGGGTAGGGAGGGGTGGCTGAGGGCTAGGAAAGGAAAGACCCGGAAGTCCGTGAGTCCTGCGGGGAGAGAGCAACAGCAGGGAAGTGATGCCAGCAACCCCGGCCCTGGCAGGGGGATGACAGTTCGGACGACGAGGACAAGGAGCGGGTCGCGCTGGTGGTACACCCGGGCACCGCACGGCTGGGGAGCCCGGACGATGAGTTCTTCCAAAAGGTAAGAGGCTGGGGTCTCGGCCTGTCTTCACGAGGGGGCTGGATGACCCGAGGAGCAGCGCAGTCTGGAGTACCCCCGTATCTCCTTCAGCCCTTTTGGTCACCTTCCCCAGGTCCGGACAATTCGACAGACTATTGTCAAGCTGGAGAATAAAGTCCGAGAGTTGGAGAAGCAGCAGGTCACCATCCTGGCCACGCCCCTTCCCGAGGAGAGTGAGTGAAACCCGAAGCGTCAACGCACGTTCAGCCAGAGGGATTGTGGGGATTGTAGTACGATGCAGGTGGTGGCTAGGGAGGTTTGTTGAGATGGGGGCTACTGTTTGGGAGTCATGGCTGTCTCTTGTTCAGGTATGAAGCAGGACCTGCAGAACCTGCGTGATGAGATCAAACAGCTGGGGAGGGAGATCCGAGCGCAGCTGAAGGGTGAGCTCCGAAGACCTCATCCTTCCCTGTGGTCCTGCCCAGCTCCTGGTATATCTGGGGAGTATGTGGCCCAGAGAGGCCAGTGATGTATCCAGGTCACACAGCAGGCCTAGGCCTAGAATCTTTGTCTCTTGGCTTCCAGTCCATAGTACCTTCCACAGCACATGCCTGCCTCTTGAGCTCCTTTATTTATAAGGAAACCACTTACTCCTACAATTCTTGCTGCCCAATGTGCACTCTTTGGACAGGCAGATGGGAGTTTGTCAAGAGGCCTCTGCATACCTGTGGGAATTCTCTGATGTATTGTGAAGAAAAATATGCTTTCTCCCATCAGAGGCTCAGAATTAGTCATTTATGATAAATTATAATTCCCAAAAGAATCTTGTAGAGATAAGCACCTTTCTATTGTATGGATGGGGTATGGTCCTGGCCCTGTGTCCTGGTCCCCACATGATTTTCCGAAGCTACAGGTCAAAACCCCTTCCCCACCAATACCCTGTGTCTTCCCACAGCCATAGAGCCCCAGAAGGAGGAAGCTGATGAGAATTATAACTCAGTCAACACAAGGATGAAAAAAACCCAGGTAGGTTTGTTATTCCCAGAGCTCAGACATTTTGCAAGTGTTCCCAGATCATTAGGTGGCAGAAATAAGAAGGAAGGACCCTTAGAGATCATCAAGTTCAACCTGATGACTTTCAAATGGGGAAACTGAGACTGAGAGAAAGAAAAAACTCACCCAAGGTCAAGACTCAAGGTCTCCTGACTCCCAACCTATCTAATATCCTGCTCTGGCTTCTCCATTCAAGTTTCAGGGTCCCCAGATCATGCCCAAGGACATGTTGGCTGCAGAAGCCATGCTTTCTAGAAACCAAGATGGGGAGTCAAACTTGAATAGGTGGCAAAGACATTATTCAGGTAGGGTTTGGTAGCTAATATCCCTGCTCAGGGAAGAAGAGGATATAGTCATAAATGAGTGGGAGGTTTCCTGCCCATGGGGCAGAGGATATCCCTGTCACATGGGACATCCTCTGCCCCATGGACAGAATTCAAGAAGTCAGGAAGAGGAACTTCCCTGGAAGGGGAAAGTCACTGAATCAATATCTTATTAACTCCTAAGATTTGAGGCGATCTAGCTGCCTCCCTCTGGGTACCCAATGAGGAGTGGTTTGGAGTTCCTGGAGGTCAGAGTTGGAGTAGGTGGGCCCAGAGCTCAGCACGGACCCCAGATTGAAGATAGAGTGGTTTGGGCATCTTGCAAGGGTGCAGCTGAAGGTTGGAGAGCAGATATGTTTCTGAGGAAGGAGCTCCAAGGAATGAACACATGGAAGACAGCAGGGGAATGGACAAGGTGAGAGGACATTTCAGGAGGAGCCTGTGGTGGTCATTAGTGTGAGAGGCTGAGGGCCCAGCTGGACCTGTAAAGTCTGGGCCATAGGCTGACTTCCAGGTATACTAGCACACCTTTAGTCTAAGCAGTCAGGCTGGTGTTCAGCAAGCATTCACAGGTATGTATTGAGTGTCTACTGTGTGCTAGACTCTTTTCTAGCTGTTTGAGATGTAGCAGTGAGCCAAAGATCCCTATCCTCCTGGAGCTCACATTCTGGTGGGGAGAGACAAACATCATAATAAAGCAGTACACTATTTTAGAATATAGTTAAGGGAAAAATTGAGGAGAAAAGGGATTGAGAGTGCCAGCAGAAAGCAGGTTGGTTTTAATAAGGTAAGAAAACTTTGTTCAGAAGGTGATACTGGAACAAAGATTTAAAGGCTCCTGTGGGGCACAAACATTCTAGGACCAAGGAGCAGTGAGTGCAAAGGCCTGAGGTAGAAGTGGCTTTGGTGGGAGAGGGTAAAGAGCCCACTGTGGTTGGAGGGAGTGAGTGAGGGAACACCTGGGAAGATAAGGTCAGAGGGGAAATGGGGGAATGGAAGGTCATATAGGGCCTTATAAGCCCTGGTAAGGGTTTTGGCTTTTAATTTGAGAGAAGGGTGGTTAAGGGGGCAGGCACTTGTACTTATGCTGTTTGCTCGCTCTACCCGTGGGGATGCTGAGGCCAAATCCTCCTGGGGTGCCCAGCCTATATTCTCCATCCTTAGCATGGGGTCCTGTCCCAGCAATTCGTGGAGCTCATCAACAAGTGCAACTTGATGCAGTCGGAATATCGGGAGAAGAATGTGGAGCGGATTCGGAGGCAGCTGAAGATCAGTGAGTTGTGGTGTCTGGCCCACAGGGTCAGGTAACCTGACCCAGCTCTGAGCCTGGCCTTTTCCTTCGCAGCAAATGCTGGAATGGTGTCTGACGAAGAGCTGGAGCAGATGCTGGACAGTGGGCAGAGTGAGGTGTTTGTATCCAATGTGAGTGGCCACAGCCCGCTCCCACTTCTGGGATTCCCATCTTCTCTGAGGCCTGGCCCTTTTTGATTGAGGGAATACTGAGGCCCAGAGGAGAGTGAATTAGCATGCCTAGAGTCACTCATCAGGGCCCTAGCCCCACTTCTAATCCCAAGGGCTGCCCGAAAGCTCAACAGGAACTTCTCACTTGCTGCTGATTTCCCTGTGACCCATCTGTCCATTCCTGTCCACTCCCCAGATACTGAAGGACACACAAGTGACTCGACAGGCCCTAAATGAGATCTCAGCCCGGCACAGTGAGATCCAGCAGCTTGAACGCAGTATCCGTGAACTTCATGAGATCTTCACTTTTCTGGCTACTGAAGTGGAGGTGCAGGTGGGCACCCAGAATAGCTGGCTGGGCTTGACCTAGCCCCGGGACGTGAGTCCATGTTCAGTTAGAACCCCAGCTGTGGGGGTGCCTGGGTGGCTCAGTCAGTTAAGCATCTGACTTCACCTTGGGTTATGATCTCATAGTTCGGGAGTTCAAGTCCTGCATCAGGCTCTGTGCTGACAGCTCAGAGCCTGTGCTTCAGATGCTGTGTGTGTGTGTGTGTGTGTGTGTGTGTGTGTGTGTGTGCGCGCGCGCGCGCGCGCGCGCGCGCCCCTCCCCCACTTGTGTTCTTTCTCTCTCTGTCTGAAAAATAAATGGATAGGGGCCCCTGGGTGGCTCAGTCAGTTAAGCGTCCGACTTTGGCTCAGGTCATGATCTCGCGGTCCGTGCGGTCCATGAGTTCGAGCCCCGCGTCGGGCTCTGTGCTGACAGCTCAGAGCCTGGAGCCTGTTTCGGATTCTGTGTCTCCCTCTCTCTCTCTCTGACCCTCCCCCATTCATGCTCTGTCTCTCTCTGTCTCAAAAATAAATAAACGTTAAAAAAAAATAAATGGATAAACATTAAAAAAAAATAATAAAGAAAAGAACCCCAGCTGTGACTGTCAGCCCATCTCCACCCTTAAGCCTTTCTCCCTGAGGTTTTTATCTTCCTCCAGGCTGGGCCATGCCCCCAGGCTGGCCCTTACTTCCATCCTTAGCCATGCCCCAGAATTCCTTCTACCTCCACAGTTACCCAGGTGGCCACTCCTCTATATGCAGCATCTCACCGTATCCACCAGTTTAGCCCACCCCAGGTATAGCCCCAACCCTGGCTCCTCCTTCACCAATACAATCCACCCTTATACCTCTAACAGCTTTAGTCAAAGTTGTCTCACAGTGGGCCTTTGTCCTCAAATCTGTATGAGGTCGGGGTGGGAGGTAGTGTCCTTCTCCTGGCCCTGGTTGTATGGGGTGAGGTAAGCTTCCAGCGCTGTCGTGGAGGAGCTGACTCACTAGTGCTGCAGCCAATGCCCTTGTGTAGCTGGGAGTCATGGGGAAGGGATTTCACTCAGTAGGAGCACCAGGACCTGAAGGCTGGCCGGGATGAGGAGGCAGGGATGGGGAGGGCTTCACAGCTGTTGAGAGGCAGGCCTTAGAAGAATGGGCAAATTCAGACAGATTTACAAGGGGACAAAAGTTCACCCTCTGTGAAAAGGTGTGAGCCTCTTAAGGCACTTGGCTCCAAGCCACCACTGCAAATGAAGGTTTTACGGGGTAAGGGAGCAGATAAAAGGGGGCCTGGAAGCCACCCTCAAGAGTGTGAACTTTTGTCAGATGTGGTCCTGCCCCCGCATCTTTGTCAGTGCACTGTTTTCTGCCAGAAAATGTCCTTCAGGCACCTGAACTAGGGTGAGCAAACAGGAGCCACTGGGCCCTCTATCCCCAGTTATCCCCACCTGCCTGAACCATCCTCTCTTCTGAGCAGGGGGAGATGATCAACCGGATTGAGAAAAACATCCTGAGCTCAGCAGACTATGTGGAACGGGGGCAGGAACATGTCAAGATGGCCCTGGAGAACCAGAAGAAGGCACGGAAGGTGAGCTTCCCTGTCCCCTCGTCCCATCCCATGCCCTGGGTGGCCTTCCCTTCCTTCCTTCCTGAGTTTCTCTGAACTCCTCTCCCACAGAAAAAAGTTTTGATCGCCATCTGTCTGTCTGTCACTGTCCTCATTGTGGCAGTGATCATTGGTGTCTCCATATTGGTTTGAGAACATCGCACGTTCTTGGTGAGCTATTGTGGGCCTGCCCCCTGGCCTGCCTCATCCTGGGCCCCAGGCTTTCCTCCTCCCCTCAGACCCTGTTCTCCCTCCTTCCCTTGCAGGCACTAAGAGCACCAGGGACCCAGGTCTTCCTTCTCTCCCAGCAGCTGAGGGGGGAGGGCAGGACAGAGCCTCCAGCTGGACCCCCTTCCTCACATTGGCCCTGTGCAGAGGGGCAGACAGTTCTTCTGGGGTTGGCAGCCACTCATTCATGGGGGCTTCCCCACTCAAACTGCAATGCCTGGGAGAGGGCCTGCAGTGTCCTCTTTGGCTGGAACACATGGTTTTGTAAGAAATTAAAAAAAAAAAAAAAAAGAGCTTGGAGACTCCCCTGTGCATGTGTGTTCCTGGAAGGGCTGTCCCAGGACCTCCAGGTATCCAGCCTCCCCTTTTCCTGGCCATGCTTGGGGCTAGACCCAGCCCAGGCAGACTCAGATCAGACTGTTCCAGGTGCTATGACCACAGCAAGCTGGTACTGCCCTCCTACTATCCCATAGGAACAGGTGGGGCAGGGAGGGGGTAACACCCACATCTGGCTCAGTATTGTTCCTGGGGAAAGACTGCTGTGAGTACCTAATGCCAAAGCAGTGAAGCTGGGCCAGGCCACGCTGGGATACAGGTGAGATTGTGGGGCATCGGTGGGCATTCCTGAGGCTAAGAAGAAGCACTGTGAGTAAGCACCGTGTATCTTAGCTGTTGCTTCACATACAGTGAACAGGGAAAGGCTTGTCTCAGAAGGAGCGACATTTGAGTGGAACATTAAATGAGGAGGAGCCAGTTACAGGAAGAAGCAGGGGAAAGGTTGCCAGGCAGAAGGAGCAGCCCTGTGCCCAGAAAAAAGCATAGGCTTTGACATAGGAGTTCAGCTTAGAGAGCCAGTGACTCTAGATCAGCACACTTGGTTTCTATGTGGTTATGTGGCTAAAGCAGTAGAAGAGACAGAAGAGCCTGACACCTGGTTTCTATGAGGCACCTAAACTCCAGACCCCAACTCTAAATTTCTAAGAGTTCCGAATCCCAAGCCTAGTTTCCGAAGCTGGGCATGGCACCGGTCCTCAGACACCTAGTTTCATGGGTAAGCTGGCTTCTGGCTCTGAAGCCTGGTTGGAATGGGGCGGTGCCTGTCCCCAACCAAGGTCTGGGGGGTGGGTTCCAGCTGCCCTGTCCTATCCCATTTTCGATCCCACAGGTCCCTGCTGCTGATGACGCTGCTGCTCCAAGCCGCCCTTGCCCAGCCCATCTGGCCACAGTACCGCTTGCTTCGGCTACACACATATAGTTGCTGGGGTGACACGAGTCATGGAAGGGCTGGACGTGTGTCCCTCGGTGCAGTCTCATTCTCCGCCCCTGGGCCTGGCCTGGGGGAAGGAGCCGGGGAGTGTGGGGGGGGGGGGGGGTTAGGCCCCGATGATCCCTGCCTGCTCTGCCTCCATCCATCTGGGCTCCCGCCTGCAGCGCCTCCCGGTGGCCCTCAAGTGACCCTGGCGCTGCTGTTGCAAGGCGCCTGCGCCAGGTCCAGGTCCAAGCGTAAGCTTGGCTCTGAGTCTAGGGGGCGTGGCCTTGTGGGAATTGGAAAATGATTGGCCAGCGGAACTAAATGTTGTTCCTAAAGCGCATCGGGATTGGCCTGTTAGACGTCCTGGGGAAGTGAACACTGGGTATTAAACCACAATTAACCAAATGCTGATATGGGAGGGGCCTCAGCGAGTCCTCAGTTGCACCCCAAAGTGATTGGATCACAGGGCGTAGGGGGCATGATCAAAACTCTAACAGGCCGAGGGGCACGAACTTGTGAGTCTGGCTGGGGTAGTGAGTCTGGGACTTCACTCAAGAAGGCGTGGCTGGGTCCCTCTCCCTCTTCGCTGAACTGGTCAGCTGTGCAAGTCTTGGAGGGTACCCATGCCTCCGTCCTGCCTGAGATCGTGTATCCCGTGTACAGATGAAGCCCTAGACATCTACAGGAAAGGTGTGCAAACACAATCTGGATGTCGGCTCAATGGGAAAACTGCGAGGTAGGACGGATCCTGCCCCAGTAGAAGACTGATTTGAATACGGGGCCTCTGGGTTTCCCTAATTCTCCCTCTCTTCCCCTGCGGCCTGCATCTTCAGCGGAACTCTGTCCTGCTGTTCGCCTTTGCCCACGCACTCACCTTTCTGCCTTCAGAGGAAAACTGCACGACCTGTGGCACCTACTGGGATCTGATAGGAGACTATCAGACTGTGTCACATCTACGCAGCTGGGTAATGCAGCTGGGTATCCGTGTGGGGTATGTGACTTCTGATCAGTTTTGCTAGACCCCTGAAAGCCTGTTTACCTCTGAAAGGGGTTTGCGTCACCCCTGAAAGCCTGTTTACCTCTCTGTCTCACCCAGGAAGCTGTGCAGAACCTCCTGAAAGAGGTAGCTAGATGGCCCAGTGAGGTCTCGGATGCTGGCCCGGTAGTTTGAACTTTTCCTGTGGGCTAGGGGACACATGGAAGGGTTTTGAACAGGTGAGTGGCAAGTTTGGGGCAAATCTCGCCGTCAGGTGGACCCATGCACTGGAGATTTCACTCCAGTGAAAATCCACAAGGTGGCTCTCTTGTCGATACCCTCTCCTGGGGAAAACTGAGCTCAGTGAGGAGGTAGGGGCAGATTTTGCGCTGAAGTCCTGTCTTGGCTGCTGTTCAGGGAACAGGGTCTTGGTTGAGTGCGGCTTTTCCAAATCCATCTTGCAGCATAGCTTTTCATCTATAGCTCTCCCCACTTTTTGCCTCATTCACTCATCACTCAATATTTCATGGTTCAAATTACTAGGAAAAGAAACCTGACTGGTCTGGGTCAGGCTACTTTGACCAGCTTATATAAATTATCTACCTCGAGGGGTGCCTGGGTGGTTCAGTCGGTTGATCTTCTGACTTTGGCCCAGGTCATGGTCTCATGGTTTGTGGGTTCGAGTCCCATGTCAGGCTCTGTGCTGACAGCTCAGAGCCTGGAGCCTGCTTCGGATTCTGTGTCTCTCTTTCTGCCCCTCCCCAGCTCATACTCACACTCTGTCTCTGTCAAAAATAAATAAACTTAAAAACGTTAAAAAAAAAAAATAAATTGTCTACCTCGAATCAAGACTTTGTCTTTGACCAAGATGTATGTGAAGTCTTACTTGGTACAAAACTGTGCAGCAGAGTGTGTATGAAGGATTGGATGAACTCAATGATTGACATTTCTGCAGCCCTGTGATAGATTGTATTATTGTTCTGAATATATACTGTCCTTCCTGTAGACTACTCACTGTAGGACTGTAGACATTCATATCCCACTTACAATAGGCTTAGGTGTAGCACTTGCTTTGGCCAATGGGATATGAGTAGAAATGTAAAGTATCACTTCCAGTAGAAGCTTTAAGTACCAGGAAGTAGTCTGGCATCTTGCCTTTTCTTTTCCCACTTGTGAACCACTGATATTTGGAGGCTAGTTGTTGTTATGTCAGAATAAGTCTAAAAAAAAAAAAAAAGAACAAGTCTAAACCAACTGTCACAGAACTAGTACCCAGAGGTAGGGTATTACCACATTAAAAATGAACCTGAATTATATGGCATTGGCTTTGGAGCTGGGCAGTGGCTGATGAGGAAACCATCAGTGAAAGTTGGAAAGATGGTGACATGTGTTAGGCAGTGGTGAAGCATTTGGTTAAACTCTAAGCTGGAAATAACTAAGAATGTAAATGATGTCCAAATGAGCTTGGGGCTTTGGGGGGAAATTTTGAGAAAGTATATTAGTAGCATACTTTGATTGCCTTTGGATGCATTTGACAAGTTATTGTAAGAAAGAGATGACCTCGAAAATAATTGGCCAGTTTTTAAGCAGAAATGGAAGAGAATATAGAAACTTCTGGGCAGGTGGTCTACATTTTTAGCCAGTGAAAGATACGACTGATAAGGCCCTGAAACCACAAAGTGATTAAAACTCATCTTTGTGGCAAGGGTGATATCAAGTGTATGGCTCTCGTGCCTTTTGTAAAAACCTCTGACTTGGTCAAAGTGGTTCCCAATAAAGCCTTTCAGTTAGTCAAGATGATTCAGAGAAGAGAGTTTAAGAGTGTAATTCTCCCAAAGGAGTGAGTAGGCTCCATTTGCTTACAATTAAGTCTAAAGAGAGAGGCATGTTTGAAAAGAATTGGTGGGTTTGGCAGTTGGCCCACAAGTGGCTGGAATCCAATAGATAAGAAGCCTCTTTCCCTCCTCACAAAAAGGCACTATCATGGATTTTTAAAAGACCATGAGTGTTTAAGACCTTGAGGGCTCCCAAATTTCTATGGGCATGAAGGAGGCAGAAAGCTGCTTTGCCTCAGAAGGGCATAACTTCCAGTGTTTTCTCAAATGTGGCCAAGGAGAATAAATGGGAATGGATGAGCTACTTAATGGGAACTAGGGAATTAATCCCAGAGAGCAGTCCCACTCTCAGGAAAAGTGGGGGGGCCTTTGCAACATCTGCTCAGCAAGGTATTAGAATTACTCTGGGCCAGTAAGTGCTGTGTGTCTTTGTCCTAATTTTTTTTTTTTTTAATTTGAGAGAAAAAGAGTGCCTGCATGCAGGGGGTGGAGGGAGGGTCAGAGGAGACTGAGCGAATCTCAAGCATGCTCCACACCAGCATGGAGCCCAACATGAGGCTCAATACCACGACTCTGGGATCATGATCTGAGCCAAAATCAAGAGTTAGATGCCATCCAACTGAGCTATCCAGGTGCCCCTCTCATTCTTCTTTCTAAATGGGAGTGTTTACTGCCACTATCCTGTCTCTGTTCCACTTCATATGTTAAATGTGTGTGAGGGGGTGGGGGCAGAGATAACTTGTGAGGAGGGGGAGAAGGAGGAAGGGGGTGAGGATTTTTGGTTTATAGGTCTCTGGATCAAGAGAAGCCACCTCTGGACCTGATATAGAGACTATTAGAGGTCCTGCTCTTGATTCTTTTTTTTTTTTTAATTTTTTTTTCAACGTTTATTCATTTTTGGGACAGAGAGAGACAGAGCATGAACGGGGGAGGGGCAGAGAGAGAGGGAGACACAGAATCGGAAACAGGCTCCAGGCTCCGAGCCATCAGCCCAGAGCCTGATGCGGGGCTCGAACTCATGGACCGCGAGATCGTGACCTGGCTGAAGTCGGACGCTTAACCGACTGCACCACCCAGGCGCCCCCCTGCTCTTGATTCTGATGCCATGATTAGATGGGTCATTTGGGTGGTCTCCCCTGGGAAGGATGCATATTTATTTTGCATGTGGAAGAAACACAAAGGTAATATTTGTGACAAAGAAGGCAGACTAAGAAGATTCCACAATTGTTCAAAAACATTCATTAACCCTCTTTATGGGGTCCCACCATATGAAGAGATTATATATACCTACTCTGTTGACATCAGCTTTGGGTATGTGGGGCTTGCTTTTGGCAACGGAACTTGAGTAGGAGCAACATGTACCACTTCCAAGAAGAAGCTTTAAGAGCCATCAAGACATCTGCCACCTTTCTCCTCTTCTTTGTCTTAAAATTCCAGATTGAGGCTGTTCCTCCAGACTGGATTCTGGAAGGAAAATGATATAGAACAGAGCCACAGCTGTCCCATGGAAGATGTTGTACAACATCCTCTGGCACTTCCCAAGTGAAGTTGGAAATTGGCCCCTGTACACAGAGGGCAGGGGAAATCAAACAAACAGACAGGGCCACTGCAGATTGGTAAGTGGGAGGTTTAATAAGGAAGGGGACTTAGGGGCACCTGGCTGGCTCAGTCAGTAGAGCATGACTCCACTTGATCTTGGGGTTGTGGGGTTGATCTTGATCTTGGGGTTGTGGGTTTGAGCCCCATGTTGGGTGTGAAGATTACTTAAAATCTTCAAATAATAATAATATTATTAAAATAAGCAAGGGAAGTTACATGCAAGTTGGTCTTGAGCAGCCACCAAATGAGTAGATCTCTGCACCTCCCACCAAATATATTTTTTTGTACCTCCCACTGAATCTTAAACTTTTTTTTAATGTTTTTATTTATTTTTGAGAAAGAGTGAAGGAGAAGGGAAGGGGGAGAGAGAGAGGTAGGCAGAGGATCTGAGGCAGGCTCTGTGCTGACAGCACTCATGGACCGTGAGATCATGACCTGAGGTGAAGTTGGATGCTTCACTGATTGAGCCACCTAGGTGTCCCCAAATCTTAAAAATTTATATAGAGGCATTGGGGCACCTGGCTGGCTCAGTTGGTAGAGCATATGACCCTTGATCTCAGGGTCATGGGTTCAAGCCCCACACTGGGTGTAGAGCCTACTTAAAAAAAATATTTATATAGAGGCCTTAAGTGGATTCAGTTATGTGTACCATCCACATGGTCTCAACAACACAGTGCTTTCTCAAGGCTGTGTCCTTGGGGCAGCCTCTAGGGGCAGGGAAGGCAAGCTGAATGTACACTCCAAGGAAGGGGAGCCTTTGATTGTGAAGGCGCAACTCATCAGTCAACTGACAGTCACATCCTCTTGATGACCTCCCCCAACAGAGGACATGGAATATGAGTGAGAAAACACATTTGTTGTGCGCCACTGAAATTTTGGGATAGTTGTTACTGCAGCATAATTTGATCCTAGATGATTGATAGAAGCTCCCTCAATTTTGCAGAGACTCTCTATTCAGTTCTCCTTTCCTATCTCCAAGACAACTGGCATACCAAAATGAGCTGTGGTGGTGCTACAAGGTCTGAGGCTTTGCCCCACAAATGGCACTATTACAAAGGACTTGTTCAAAAGGAAAAAAAGAAAGTAAAACCCAAACTTCCCTTAAGTGTATGGATGTCTGCCCTCCCAAGAAGCCCCAACATAATGGATAGTAAGTGGAAATTCTGTGTTTGTGAATGGGTACAGCTGCATGAAACAGAGACGCAAACTAGCCATGGCATGACGTCATCAGTACCCATGAACAACAACAACAAAATAGTAAATTATTTTATTTATCTTGTTGGTCCTTCTCTGGGATATTGCCCTCACCCACATGATCTAAGATGGTCCACCACCACTTTCACAGTTTAGCCCTTGTGAAGGAGGAAAGTGGAGGGGGCAGCTTGCCCTTCACCCTTAATTGCAGAAGTCGTACCAATAATTTCTGCTCTAATCCTATTGGCCAGAATGTAGTCACATGGCCAAGAAATATAATCTTCATCCTGGGCAAGCTTTTTGTCCAGATTAAAGTTCTAGGGGAACTGGGGAACTATTGCCAGGAAACAAGCTAACTTTAGAAGGATGAATATTGGGGGGTGCCGTCAGCAGTTACAGCCACACACTATGAGAGTTAACCCATCCCAACTATATTAGTTTCCTATTACTCCTGTTACAAATTACCACAAACATAGTGGATTAAAGCAACACACATTTATTGTTTTATGGTTCCAGAGATCAGAAATCCAAAATCAGTTTCACTGGGCTAAAGTCAAGGAGTTGGCAGGGCTGGCTCCTTCTGGAGGAACCTTTTACTTGCCTTTTTCAGCTTCTATTGGATGCCTGTATTCCTTGACTTGTGGCCTCATACTCCATTTCAAAGAATATTATTCCCTTCTTACCTTCCATTGTTACATCACCTTTTCCTCTGATTCTGACCACCCTGTCTCCCTCTTATAAGGATATTTACGATTATTTTGAGCCCACCCAGATACCCCAAGATAATCTTCCATTTTACAATTTTTAATTACATCTGCAAAGTCCCTTTGGCATATAAAGTGACATTCTCAGGTTCCAGGGATTAGGATGTGGACATGGTTAGGGGGACACTGTTTAGCCTACCATACCACCTTGTTCCACATTTAAATCATTCATTCATTTAGTCATAAAATATTTATTGAGCAAGAGTTATGTACCTGATACTGTGGAAGGTGGTGGAGAAATAGAGGTGAAAATACAGACAAGATCTCTGCCTTTCATGGGGTTTATACTTTAGTGGAGAGGACAAGAAAAGAAATAGCTAAGGTATTCCAAAACCATGACATATATTATTAAAAATTAAGCAGCATGCTATGACAAAAAATGACTAGGGGTTGGAGATGGCTGTGCTAATAAGTAGTCAAGAATGGCTTCTTAGGGAAGGTGACTAATCCAAAGGGCAACCTGAGAGCTTAGGGCAGAACAGAGCCATGAAGGATTCTTTCTTGGCCTAGAAACCTAAGGGAATTCGCTTAACTGGATTTTGGAATTCCAGTGACTCCCATTTTGAGCCAGAATGTTTATTATCCTATGCACGTCCCACCATTGCACATTGGGAGTACATGACTTGTTTCTTTCTTTCTTTCTCTCTCTCTCTTTTTTTTTTTTTTTTTTTTTTTTTGAGAGAGAGAGAGAGCACACATAAGCAGGGGAGGGGCAGAGGAAGAGGGATAGAGTGAGAATCTCAAGCAGTCTTCATGCCTGGCAGAGTCCGACATGGGGCTAGATCCCATGACCTTAAGATCATGACATGAGGTGAAATCAAGACTCTGACACCCAACTAACTGAGCCCTCCAGGTGCCCTTTGTTTCTTTAGTTTCATAGGTCCACAGATGGCAGGAATTGTGCTCCAGGAAGGATTATACCCATAGCTTCATCTGCATCGGCTTTTAGATAATGGGATTTAGGACTTTGGGTTTGATAAGATTTGTATGAGATTTTTTTTTTTTTATTCTGAATTGATGCTATAATGGGATGAGACTTTTTGGACAGTGGTGAGAATTTTAAGAACCTTGGGAGGAAGTGAATGTATTTTGCATGTGGACCAGACATAAATCTTTGAGGGCTAGAGGGTGAACTGCATAATGGCCTCCAAAGATTCCACGCCCTCATCTCTATGAATATGTTACCTTACATGGCAAAAAGGGCTTTGCGGGTATAATTAAGTTTAGTAATTGGTTGAGTTTTTTTTTTTTTATTTTTTTTTCAACGTTTATTTATTTTTGGGACAGAGAGAGACAGAGCATGAATGGGGGAGGGGCAGAGAAAGAGGGAGACACAGAATCGGAAACAGGCTCCAGGCTCTGAGCCATCAGCCCAGAGCCTGACGCGGGGCTCGAACTCACGGACCGCGAGATCGTGACCTGGCTGAAGTCGGACGCTTAACCGACTGCGCCACCCAGGCGCCCCATGGTTGAGTTTTTTTTTTTTAAGTTTATTTATTTATTTTGAGAGAATGAGAGAGAGGGTGTGTGTGTGTGCGTGCACACACATGCACCAGTGGGGAAGGGGCAGAGAGGAGAGACAGAATCCCAAGCAGGCTCTGCACCATCAGCACAGAACCCAATGCGGGGCTTGAACCCACGAACCTTGAGATCATGACCTGAGCCAAAATCAAGAGTCAGATGCTTAACCAACTGCACCATCCAGGTATCCCATGTTTACTAATTGGTTGACTTTAAGATAAGGGAGAGTATACTGAGTTATTCAGGTAGACCCAATGTAATAACATTAACTCTTAAAAGCAGAGAAGCTTTTCCAGCTAGCAATAGAAGAGGAAAAGTCAGAAAATTTGAAATAGGACTCGATGTGCCATTGCCAGTTCTGAAGGGCCCCCAGCCAAGGAATATAGATAGCCTTGAGATGCTGAGAACCACCTCTGACTGACAGCCAGCAAAGAAACAGAGACCTCAGTCCTACAGCCAAATGGAACTGAATTCTGTTAATAACCTGGATGAGTCTGGAAGTGGACTCTATGGCAGAGCCTCCAGATAAGAGCCCAGACTGGCCAAAACCTTGACTTCAGCTTTGTGAGACCCTTAGTAGAGGACCCAGATGGGTCCACCTGGACTTCTGGCTCACAGAACTATGAAATAAGTGTTATTTTAAGATGCTAAGTTGATGGTTATTTAATATGCAGGAACAGAAACCTAATAACTGTATGGCTGGAGCTGAGACTTGGATAAAGAGAAAGTATCACAGATGGGCAAATCTGGGGAAGTGTGTTCCGTCACCAGGGAAGAGCAAGTGCAAAAGCCCAAAGACTGGGAAAAGGAAGAAACAAATCAATAGAAGGTCCTCTTGGTTGAAGCCTGCTGACTAGGAGTAGGTACATGAGGTCAGAGCAGGGATAGGGACTGAAAGGAAGGTAGGCTCCAGCTGGAGGGATTTATGTTGAGAGTGGACTGTGTGTAGATAATTGAGAACTGGTCTGCAAATCTCCTTTGTTGAATCCAGAATGATTGCCCCAGCTACAAAGCTTGCTGCCTTCCCCTATCTCCTCACCCTGTTCCTGGAGCATACTCCTGTGAGGAGCCCCTAATTTCTCCAGCCATTTGGCTGGGAAGGGAATGATGACTGTAGTCTGTAGTACAGAGTGAGGAGTGATACCAGCTGCTGCATATGGCATATGGCATCAGCAGCAGGGCATATGATTTTGCACTCCCAAGATGGACCCATTACCTGGGACAGTCCTGGTAGAGAGCCAGGGAGGTAAAGGAAGTTAGGGCAGAAGAAAACTGAAGGCCAGAAGTCAGACTGGGCATTATCCAGATAATAAAACTGGACAAAGACATCACAAGAAAACTACAGATCAATATTTCTTATAAGAATCTGCAACAAAATACTAACAAACTGAATCTAGCAATGTATAAAAATTATCATGCAGCATGACCAAGTGGGATTTATTGCACGAATGCAAGGTTGGTTTAACATCCAAAAATCAATTAATGTAATTCTGAATATTAATAAAGAACAAAAACCATATAATCATCTCAATAGAAAA